GCACCGATCCTGTTGACACCAAAGAAGGACGGCGGACTTTGCATGTGTACGGACTATGGTGCCCTTAACCGGGTAATGATTAAATTGCGATACCCAATCCCGCACACGGACGAGCTGATTGGCAACCTTCGCGAAGCTCGCTACTTTTCGAAGATCAACCTTCGTGGCGGTTACCATCAAATTCGAGTGTTCGCTGATGACTGCCACAAGACCGCGTTTCGTACTCGCTACGGGAGTTACGAATACACGGTGATGCCGTTTGGATTAACGAACGCCCCCTCGACGTTCCAACTCACCATGAACGGGGTGTTCCGCGATCTCCTCGACAATTGCGTGATAATTTACTTGGACGACATTCTCATCTACACCAAGACCCGGGAGCAACATTTAACGGATTTGGACGCAGTTTTTCAGCGGTTGCAGCAGCATCGTCTCATCACCAAGGGCTCCAAGTGCGAGTTTTTAAAACAAGAACTAGAGTTCCTGGGGCACGTGATCTCCACGGAGGGGATTCGAATAGACCCGAACAAACTCCGGGCTATTCAGGAGTGGCAACCGCCAACAAATCTGTAGCAGCTGCAATCCTTTTTGGGTTTCGTAAATTATGTGCGGCGGTTCATACCCAACATGGCGGGGTTAACTGGCCCTCTCACCGACCTACTGCAGAAGGGGACTTTTTACGAGTGGGGGGAGAAGCAGCACGCTGCGTTCGAGGCATTAAAAACACTTTTAATGTCGCCACCAGTACTTCGCATCGCTGACCCAGAACGACCCTTCGAAGTCATCACCGACGCAAGTGACATCACCATCGGAGCAGTGCTCATGCAAGATTTCGGCGATGGGCTTCAACCAATCGCGTACGAGTCTCGGAAAATGCAATCTGATGAGCGCAACTACCCGGTACACGACAAGGAGATGCTGGCGATAGTCCACGCGGTCAAAATCTGGAGATGCTACCTGACTGGAGCAGACGTGGCGGTGCGAACTGATCACAAATCACTACAGTACCTGAAGGCGCAGCCGAATCTCAACCCGCGGCAGATACGCTGGTTAGACTATCTGGAGTCCAACTTCACGTACAAGATCACGTATAAAAAGAGCGCCAACAATATTGCCGACGCCCTCTCCAGACCATCTGCCCAACTCGCAGCAGTACTAGTCGCCCAGAGCAACCCGCTACTGAGTGGACTATTTACCTACGGGTATTCGACTGACCCTTTCTTCGTAAATGACGGCCATCTCCCAATCACTACACGGAAAGGCGTCTATTACTTACGAAGTGGGACTGATCGAATTTGGGTCCCAAGTTATCGTCTACTTTGCGAATTACTTATTCAAGAAGTCCACGATTCGAATTTATCAGGACATTTCGGGGTTGACAAAACTCTGAAGGCGTTGCAGCGTTTTTATTACTGGCCAGATATGGTGACGGACGTGCAGCGTTACGTGGCCGCGTGTCCGATCTGCCAGCGAATGAAGTCCTCACACCAGCGACCTACAGGACTGTTGCAGCCCCTCGAGCCACCTCAACGCCCATGGCAACACGTAACGATGGATTTCGTTACGGGACTACCGGCCGGACCCGACGGAAACGACGCAGTGTTGGTTGTCGTCGACCGATTGACGAAAATGGCGCATTTCGCACCATGTCGTACAACCATCACAGCCGAAGAAACAGCGCGCCTGTTCATCTCGACCGTTGTTCGACTACACGGGATACCAGCAGCAGTCATTAGCGATCGAGATCCGAAGTTCACGTCAAAATTTTGGCAGGACACGTGGGCTCGGTACGGTATGCGCCTACAGTTCTCGTCCGCTTATCATCCCCAAACGGACGGCCAGACGGAAAGGACGAATCAAACAATGGAGCAGCTGATTCGGACAAACTGCCCCGACCGAAACAAATGGGAGGAAGTACTGCCCATGTTGGAATTTTCCTACAACAACGCGCCCTCGGCTACGACTAATCACTCCCTGTTCTATCTCAATTGCGGGATGGACCCTACAGTACCAGTCTCCACAAACATTGAGAGTCAAGTACCACGATCGCAGCAGTCCGTCGAAGAATTACAGACTGCCCGAGACAAAGCTGTTGAACTTATTCGCAAGGCGAACGCAACTGCCCGACGGTATGCAGATTTACACCGACGAGATATCACCATGGCAGCAGGGCAACTAGTTCTGTTGGACACCAAGAATTTACGACTGCCACTACCGACAAAATTACGACCACGTTTCTATGGACCGTTCAAAATCATGAAGATGGTGACGCCAGTGACCGCCCAGCTACGCCTACCTGATGACTGGCGTATCCACAACAAGTTCCACGTGAGCCTGTTGCGACCCTTCGTTCCTGACACGTCGGACATCGCTCGACAGCGATTGGTCCCCGATGTACGGCCACCAGCTGAGACGACCATCGAGCCTTCGAAGATTTTGAGCCATCGAATTCGTATCGACGGCCAAGGACGACACGTTGATTTTCTGATACGATGGACCAATCGTACCAGTGAAGACGACACGTGGGTGCCCTCGGACCAGATACAGTCACCTTCGATACTTGCGAATTATTTGACCCGCAAGCACGTGACTGATATAGATCACCTTCTCTAAAGAGGGGGGTGGTGTAAGGAATTTTCCATTCCTTACCGAGCGGTACTGCTATCGCGTACGCTCGAACTCACCCGAAGCCTCGGGACTGTTCCAGACCTTCTGACAGAACCGCCTCGGCTTCTCCAGACCTTCCAGTTCGACCTTCGGGAATTCTCCAGGCCTCGCTTCGTCACTTCGAGACCCTTCGATCTCTCTCCCGAACCTTCCCATCGCATGGTTAGACTAGCTCTGATGTTCCTATATCTTGGCTTGCCATTCCTTGTATCGTCATATTCATTGAGTGAACACTTCGTTATTCATTTCCGCGCTACTCTGCTTGTTCATTCATAACAAGCAGCATCGATGTAACCCTGTGCTCTCCTCCATTGTAGCTGTTTTCCTCCCGGCTCTTGACGCTAATCGCGAAAGTGTCCTGCCTCGAATCGCCCGTCTCCCTCCTGTCCCTCCACCTGCCGGCCTCCCACTCTTTCAAAACTCTTTCCTCTCCCTCACGTGTCGACAGCGATTATGGGAGTTGTTTTTTTCGTCGTCGCGCTCTTTTCAGTCTCCGCGATGCTCGCACCGTCACCCTCCACCCTCGCCTCCCTCTTCCAATTCGCCGTCCCCGCTATGTTCCTCCTCGCTCCCGTTGCATGCCTCGCCACTGTGTTCATCTCCGCGCCGTACGGCCGACACGTCAGACCCGGCTGGGGCCCGCTGATCCCTGCGCGGCTCGCGTGGATTATCATGGAAAGCCCCGCGCTTTGGCTTTCCGCAATGGCGTTCAGCTGGGGCTGGAACGGCTGCCACGTGGCAGATCGAACGGCGGGAAAGGAGACGGAGATGAGTGGCTTAGGGTCCAGCGGGGGGGAATCAAGGGCGGCACCGGTAATAATGGCGTTTTATCTGGTGCATTATGTCCATCGGGTGGTAATTTACCCGCTGAGGATGCGAGCGGAGGGGAAGACGATGCCGGTGCTGGTGATGCTGCTGGCGTTGTGCTACAACCTGCACAACGGATTCATGCAGGGATACCAGTAAGTGGAAATGCTGCGAGATTTGAGTCAAAGTCACCTGGTCCTGCTACAACCTGCACAACGGATCCATTCAGGGATACCAGTAAGTGCTGCTGATGATGGGGGCTTGAATGGAGAGTGCAGTAAGTAATGGTGTGTAGGCTGCTGCAACCTGCACAACGGATTCATGCAGGGATACCAGTGAGTGAGTGGGAATGGGGGTGCTGGTATGGTGTATTAGGGAGTGATTAGTAGATATTGATGGGGCTGCTACAGCCTGCACAAGGGAATTAATCAGAGATACTGTTAAATGGTAGTGAGGTGCAGGTGGAGAATAGACAGCGTCGAGACTGGGTGGAAATTTGGAACCGCAGTTCCTGAGGTTTTGAAAACATTATCTCCTCCACCCCCCATCCCCCCATTCCCCCATCCCCCCATCCCTCCTTCGCTGAAACAGGGCCAAGGACACTTCTGCCTTCATGCTCCATTGTTTCTCCACGGCTGTCTTCGCTAATCATGCCTTTTTTCGTTCCTGCTCACTCCTGTCCTCTTCGAATTCTCTCTCGTGCCCTCTTCTCACTGTCACACAACATCTTGTCTCCAACTGACGTTTTGCAGGGTCGGTGCCATTGGGAAGTATCCTCTCTCGTGGCTCTTTTCCACGCAGTTTCTCATCGGCTCCTCTCTCTTCCTCCTTGGTTTCATCACCAACATCGCTGCCGATTCAGCGCTTCTCGCCCTACGAAAAAGTTCCAAGGACACGGGGTACCAGATTCCTCGAGGGCCGCTTTTCCACCTGGTTTCCTGCCCAAACTATTCTGGAGAGCTGCTTGAGTGGCTAGGGTGGGCCATACTAACATGGTCTTGGGCAGGCTTTGCATTCTTTGTGTTTGCATGCGCCAATCTCATGCCACGTGCGGTGTCCCACCATAAGTGGTACTTGCAGAAGTTTGAAGATTATCCTAAGCAACGAAAGGCTGTCGTACCTTTCCTTCTCTAATAACGTGTGAGATTTTCGAAGTTTCTCTCTTTTGAATGCTTGTTGATTGAGTTGGAAAAATGTATCCCTTACGTGACTTGCGTTAGCTAACAGGGTGCCTAGAGTGTAGCAATTCCGCAAGTTTCCCGCGCACACGCAAATATCGAGGTGGCGGCAGGGTGCACGTGCTTGCGTGGCTGGCAGGTGCAACTGCAACTCACAGCTCCACCCTGACACGGCAGAGCTCGTATGGATGGATGGTTCAAGCCTCAAGATTGTTGCGGCTAGGTTTTTCGCTATCAAGTCGTGGTTTTGAGGGTTAGAGCGGTTTACAGCACGGTACGTTTTTCAAAGTCACAGCAGGTGAATGACCTTCTAGGTGCTTCCCCGTACAGCAGCCCCCTATGCCCTTTTCCCAAGGGGGCACCTGCTGATGTAAAATTCGAGCTGGGGAGCCATGACGACGCATATCTCAGCAGCCAGCAAGGAGGATGGTGTCCTGTGCCTGCTGCGTGCTTCATTCTATTCGTGTGAACCTGCATATCATGTATCATGAGATGCGTGAGATGCAGCGGAATTGACTGGATGGGTACACGGCTCTGAGAGCTCCTCTCAGGCTCTTAGCCTATATAGGTCTACCTCAGTACGTGGTTTGATTCGGTATACCCTAGAATGCGAACGCCGCATAACAGAATCGTTTTTCTCCGTTTCCAACCACGTTTCCTCAACTGGTAACGCATCCAGTGATCCTTGTAACTACTAGTAGTTGATTACCCGTCGACGTGTCCTGTTTCCGCGTCACGTCTTTGTACCTCCCGCTAGAAGAAGGAAGTTGAGCCATCAGGTGAGGCTTGAGCGTGGATCACGGGACTCGTTAGGCTGGAACAAGGTAGAGTATGGTACCCGTTAGAAGTAGATTCTAGTAGCCGTTATAAGTGGAGTCTAGCCGTTTGCGGAAAGAGAGAGAGAGGTACAACCAATTGTCGGAAGGGGGAATTTTCTGTGGCGTAGCGTCTTGGTGACACTTGAGTCGACTCAAAAGTCACCCCAGCGGCTTCAGCGCCTGGGTGATTCTCGCAGGGGAGCGCGATGCCGCCGAAGACGTCGCAGGAAATTCAGGCGGAGAGTCTGAAGCAGAAAGGCAATGAGTACTTCAAGAAAGGGTTTCTCGGAGCAGCTATAGACGCGTACACGGAGGTGAGCGCTCCGCCAAACCGGGGGATTAAAAAAAGGTTGCTCCGCAACACACAAAAAACGGAGCAGGTTTATATATACGTGCGTGTACTCCTCATGAAATTTCCGATTTCCTCTGTTGCTGCTTCATTATCTCTCTCCGTCCTTCGTTATTCCTGTACTCCTCGCTCAGTGCTGTTCCTGCACACTGTTCTATTCTATCCGTGTTACCATTTCAGCCCATCGAATTTTCCAACCGCGTATGCGAGCTCTGAGCTTCCGAACTCTCCTGTTACCGTTTCTCTGGTTCCTGTGTGCAAGTCCATTATGCCATGCTCGCTCGCGCCATGCCACCTGCCGTCTTATCTCTGTTGCCATGGCAGGCCATCGCCTTTTCCCCGGGCGTGGCAATCTACTGGACCAACCGAGCTCTGTGCCACAGACGAAAAAGGTGAGGCGCTGAAGCTGCTGGCTGAATCCCCTTAGGCGGCTGGCTGAATCCCCTTAGACGGCTGGCTGAATCCCCTTAGGCGGCTGAATCCCCTTAGGCTGCTGAATCCTCTTAGGCATCCGAACATCGGCTTTGACTTGCACAATGGTACGCGTGTATTATCCGCCACATTAAACACGAATGCACATATACGTGCATGGTGAGTGGTTCGTCCAGGCTTGATCTAACCTGCCTTGCATCAGCACACCTGTGGTGTAACGAGGCATGCACAGCAGCAACGGGAGGTTTTGGTGGAGCACCACACACCCTCACAACCGCACCTAGTGCGGGGCCTGTGGGTTAGCCTACCCTGGGGGAGCCAAGCTAACGTTTTTTAAGGGCCTGATTTCCTTCCGGGGCGCCTAGCTTCACGGCTAGGTCCGGCCAGCAGACCGGTACGTAAAAAAAAAAAAAAAAAAAAAAAAAAAAAAAAACGTGGTGCTTTTCACGTTTCATCTGTTTCGTTTTTCTGTCAACTCAAAAATCATGGTGATTTTTGGGTCACCTCAAAGAGTCACCTTGATCTAAGCCACGTGCTGAGAGCAAATTTGACATTGGCACACCTGTGCAGCTTACAGCGTTTTTTCCGTTTCGTTTTCTTGTGTGGCAGTGTATTTTTTAGGCGCCTCAAAAAGAGCAAATCTGGCATCGGCACACCTGTGCAGCTTACAGTGTGTCATCTGTTTCGTTTCTTGTGTTGTGTGGCAGTGATTGGCCGAGAGTGGAGAATGACTGCACAAAGGCTTTGGAGCTGGACAGAAATTCCGTCAAGGTAAAAAACCACCGCGCACAGACGCTGTTCCCCCCCCCCTCTTCTGTCCTCTCTCCTCTCCGCCCTCTCCCCATCTTCTGTCCTCTCTCCTCTCCGCCCTCCCCCACTCCCACCCTCCATGCTCCCCTTGGATCCCCTTCCTGTAGCCCTGGAGTTCTTAGCTGCTCATGACTTTTGAGGCGCCGCAAAAATGCTTCCCTTGGATCCCCTTTCCGTGTAGCCGTGGATTTCTTAGCTGCTCATGCTCCTGAGCCTTGCTTGGGTAGATCTGACTCGGTTCTCAGAGGGAGCGAGACGAGAGCTGAATGGATGCGCAATATTCCTCTCCCCCTCCCCCCCGCCCCCCCCTCCCCGTGTTTTGTCTTGCACCTCTCAACTCAGCCGATTCGCAGAGGGAGCGAGACGAGAGGTCAACGGATGCTCAGTCTTCCCCTTCCCCCTGCATTGTTGCCGTGCACCTCTCAACTGCCCAGGAGCGGTTTCTTCTGGGCCTTGCTCTGGCGGAGCTGAGTCGATTCTTAGAGGGGATGCCGGGCCAACTGGTCCTTTGAAAGAAATCAATCTCCAACCCCCGCTGCCTTGGTATTGCCCCATCCGCCTTATTCCCCAAGCGCGGTTCCTTCGGGGCCTTGCTCTGGAGGAGCTGAGTTGATTCTCAGAGGAAACGAGGCGAGAGCTCACTGGATGCTCAATGTCCCCCACCCCCCTTCTCCCCCCTCCCCTCCCCGTGTTGTTGTCGTGCACCTCTCAACTCAACTGCCCAGGCGCGGTTCCTTCTGGGCCTTGCTCTGGCGGAGCTGAGCCGATTCTCAGAGGCCATCAGAGAGCTGGAGAAGGTGGGGGCGGGGGGAAGATGATGGGGGGGGGGAGGTGGGTGGGGGGAAGATGATGGGGGAGGGGGGAGGTGGGGGGGGGGGGGAGATGATGGGGGGCGGGAGGTGGGTGGGGGGAAGATGATGGGGGGGGGGAAGGTGGGTGGGGGGGAAGATGATGGCGGGGGGAAGACGATGGGGGGAAGATGACGTGGGTGGGGGGAAGGTGGGTGGGGGAACTGAGTAGAGGTTGTTAGGGGTGTCAGTGGGAAGTGGAGAAGGGTGGTGCTCTGGCGCAGCTGAGCCGATTCTCAGAGGCGATCAGAGAGCTAGAGAAGGTGAGCGGGGGGATGGGTTAGTGATAGGTGAGGGGGTTGTTGCGGGAACGGATTTGTGCGGGGTGGGGGGAGGAGGGAGGGGGGCGGGTAGGGAGGGTGGCGGGGGGGATGGGTTAGTCACAGGTGAGGGGGTGGTTGTGGGAAAGGAATAGTGGGGGGGGAGGGTGGGGAGGAGGAGGAGGGAAGGGGGCGGGTAGGGAGGGTGGGGGGGGAACGGAATAGTGAAAGGTGGAGAAGGTGGGCGGGTGACAAGCAGCTGGGGAACCGGAGCTTGAGCGCGTTCCTTCATTTCCTTGTCCTCGTCCTCTCGTTCCCTTCCGTTTTCCCCCCACTACTACTGGGTACTTGAGGCTCTATTTTTGAGGCGCTGCAAAACTGGTCTCGCGTTCCCTTCGTATTCCTTCCACCACTAGGCACTTGAGGCGCTACGCAACGACACACGGCTGGTGCGCAGTGACAATCTGGACGACATCTGGAGGGTGCTGGCTGCCGCCAAGTACCGGCAGTGGGAGGAGGAGGCGCGGGCGAGGAGAGAGAAGCAGCAAGCGCTAGGGTAAGTGCTGAGAGTTTTTCTTAGAAAATCGGGTCAAGCAAGTACTAGGCTGGCTGCCGCCAAGTACAGGCGGTGGGAGGAGGAGGTGCGGGTGAGAAGAGAGAAGCAGCAAGTGCTGGGGTGCGTTGTGAGAGGTGTTTTGTACAGTCTTGCACAGAGATGGCTGCTGGCGAGGCGAGTACCGGCAATGGGAGGAAGAGGTCAACACAAGGAGAGCAGAGCAGCAAGCGGTCAGGTGAGGCTTGAGATGCCGCAACGCCAGTAGAGAGGCGTGAGGTGTGGCAACGCCACTAGAGAGGTGTGAGGTGTGGCAACGCCACTAGAGAGGTGTGAGGTGTGGCAACGCCACTAGAGAAGTGTGAGGTGTGGCAACGCCACTAGAGAGGTGTGAGGTGTGGCAACGCCACTAGAGAGGTGTGAGGTGTGGCAACGCCACTAGAGAGGTGTGAGGTGTGGAGGTTCTGGAGGGTGCTGGAGGGTGGAGGGGGCATAGGTGAGGAGAGGGAAGCAGCAAACCGTTAGACAGGAGCCAACAGTTCTAGAAAGGTTGGAGGTATGTGAGTTGGAGGTATGTGGGTGTGGGTTGGAGGTGTGTGGGTTGGAGGTGTGTGGGATGATGGGAGAATGTGCATTTAAATTTGCCTCTTCTTTCCCCCCCTTTGGTATTTTGTGTGTTGATGGAGGCAGGGAGGAGCTGAAGCTGCTGATGAAGAATCGTCTGTTCCAGCAAGTGGCTCAGCTTCTAGGTGAGCCATCCACTGTCTTTTGCAGCTGTCCTTTGGCGGTTGTCCTTTGCAGCTGTTTCGGGGCGCTGCCATGCGTTTTGATCTGATGTGCCTCAAGACCCGTGCCAACTAGTGTCGCAGCTCCTAGGTAAGTCACCCCACTGTCCTTTGCGGCTGTCCTTTGCGGCTGTCCTTTGCGCCTGTCCTTTGCGGTTGTTCCCGCAGCTTCTAGGTGAGCTGCTCTGTTTTTCCATCCACATCCCTCTCAACCGTGTTGAACCGTTTTATTGCAGTTGCAACACCTTTCATGGTTACTTTGAAGAAGCCATGAGGCCATGAGGCCATGAGGCCATGAGGCCATGAGGCCATGAGGCCATGAAGCCATGAGGCCATGAGGCCATGAGGCCATGAGGCCATGAGGCCATGAGGCCATGAGGCCATGAGGTCATGAGGCCATGAGGCCATGAGGTCATGAGGCCATGAGGCCATGAGGCCATGAGGCCGTGAGGCCATGAGGGCATGAGGCATGAGGCCATGAGGCCATGAGGCCATGAGGCCATGAGGCCATGAGGCCATGAGGCCATGAGGCCATGAGGCCATGAGGCCATGAGGCCATGAGGCCATGAAGCCATGAGGCCATGAGGCCATGAGGCCATGAGGCCATGAGGCCGTGAGGCCATGAGGGCATGAGGCCGTGAGGCCATGAGGGCATGAGGCCATGAGGCCATGAGGCCATGAGGGCATGAGGCCATGAGGCCATGAGGCCGTGAGGCCATGAGGCCATGAGGCCGTGAGGCCATGAGGCCTAGAGCATTGAGCGCCTCAGAACAGTCACTCTGTACGGAGCCTCAGGAGGGAGGGCGCTTTGAATTTTCAACACATCCTCCCAACTCTGCTCTCTCCTCTGTTTCTTTCCCTCCTCCCCCATGCCTGCGTGCCAGGAAAGGAGGGCGCTTTGAATGGTTCGGCCACAGTGGACGTCAATGCCCTCGGCAGCACAGCAGGTGAATGTGTCGGGGCAGGACCTCTGGTGAGCACACAGCCAGAGAGCGCACAGCTGGTGAGTGCCACAGGTGCGAATGTTGCAGAAAAGCAGTGTGGCAAGGATGCAATGCAGCTGGTGCTTTCCTACAGTCTGCTTGAAGGGATTGGGTTCGGAGTGGTATGAAGTCGGGGCAAATGGTCCTACTTGTGAAAGCAGACGGACCCTCTTGTGTGGGCAGATGGTCCCTGTTGTGCGGAAAGGCGGTCCCTCGTGCACAGTAGTACCAGGAGCAACCCAACACTCTCCCGAATCACGAGCCTCGCTACCTCCCATCCTCGTTTTCTCTTCCCTTGCCTAAATCAGCCTTTTTTTTAGCAGATGAAGTGACTCATCTTGCGACCCCCCTTCTTCCCTGCCCATGATCCATTGAAGTCAGCACAGGTTTCTCTAGTGTGGCAGGTCTCCAAATTTCTCCAGGAGTTGCTTAACACTCTCTCTCCCCCCCTCCACACCCCCACCGCTCGGTCAACTCGTCCTCGCAGGCCTACCTGGACGCAGTGAAATCGCAGCAGGTAAAGTCGCTGGTGCAGCAGTACCAGGAACGGCTCAACACTCTCTTTCTAACCCACCCTGCCGATTTCCTCCCCCCCCCTTCCTTGCAGGCTTGGATGCAGTGAAATCGCAGCAGGTGCAGTCACTGGTGCAGCAGTACCAGGAGCGGCTCAATACTCTGGAGAACGTGTTTGACAAGGCTGGAGCGCCAGACAGACCGGCTGAGGTGAGGAGATGGGGTGGAGTGATGGGATGGGGTGATGGTATGGGGTGATGGGATGGGGTGATGGGATGGGGTGATGGGATGGGTTGATGGGATGGGGTGATGGGATGGGGTGATGGGATGGGATGATGGGATGGGGTGATGGGATGGCGTGATGGGATGGGGTGATGGGATGGGGTGGTGAGATGGGGTGATGGGATGGGGTGATGGGATGGGGTGATGATGGGGTGGGGTGATGGGATGGGGTGATGGGATCTAAGTTGGTTCCTTACGTTACGTTTACGTACGTGTACGTTTACGTACGTTTACGCGATTCTGGTTTTAGGCCTGAATGTACGGGCAGTCTAAAATTTTTTAGGCTGCCCAAGGGAAAAAAAAAGAGGGGATGGAAAGCCGACTTTTGTAAAAAAGTTTGTAGGTTTTGATCTTCTAGTAGAAGATTATCACGAGTGGGGTGCGACGAAAGTCACAAATTGTTTAGCGAAATTCCGCATGCGCGAAATCTCGTCGCTGGTGCGCGTCAAATTTGGTGCCCCGGCAATCCAACCCGTCAATGAACAACCCCCCAACCCCCCTCGACATGTGATTCTCCTTCCTCCCTCGACAAATGCCAATCGCTAACCTTACTCCAGCGACAATCAAGTCTAGACTAAGTAGCATCTTACGACTAGGAGGAGCGCGCATACTATCAGCGCAACGAATTTCGTTGCGACTTAGATTGATGGGGTAGATCATATCAGAAACTGAGAACTTGATTGATTGAAATGAGCAAGAGCATACATCCTTAAGTACCGAGCATCGGAGAGGATGGGAAGGGATAAGGGAGAATCGGAGGGAATCCCAAGGGAATCCTCCCAAATCGTGGGGATTTGGGATGGATTGGGTTGGGATAGGTTGGGGATGAAAACATAGCTACACCCAACCTAACAAATATGAGTATCCCTAAAACCAAGAAAGTGTCAACACACAAAATTGTGCCAACCGAATTGCAGCCTATCTCTAACACACCCCCTAGGCTGCAACGTCGGAAGCCGTAGGGACGCCAAGTCCCATGGTACGGAGGAGACGATAGTGATCACGGCGTCCAAGAGCCTTCGTAAACAAGTCGGCGAGGTTGCAGTCAGAGGAAATATGCTTGACGCACAACTGCCCTCGCTGGACGAGCTCGCGCATGAAGAAGTGTCTCAATTCGATGTGCTTGGTTCGTTGGTGGAAGACAGGATCTTTGGTGAGGTGGATAGTGCTCTCGTTATCACACCACAGAGTCGGGGTCTGCTGAGGATACCCGAGCTCAGCCATGAGGTAGGTAAGCCATCGAGCTTCTTGGGCTGCCATGGTGCCTGCGTATAACTCAGCTTCGCAAGATGACAATGAGACGGATGATGAGCGTGTAGATCGCCAGCTGATGACACCACTGCCAAGGGTGAAGCAATAGCCTTGGGAAGAGCGGCGGTCAGCTTGATCATCAGCCCATGAGGAGTCGCTGTATCCCTCTAGGTGAGGAGGGGTCGTGCCACCGAGAGTGAGGACGTAGTCCTTGGTGGCTTGGAGGTAGCGAAGGACGCGCTTAGCAGCCGACCAGTGGCGATTGGTGTATCGACCGGCAGCAACGTAACGCGAGAGCACACTGATGGGGTAGGCGAGGTCGGGCCTTGTGCACATCATCGCATACATGAGTGATCCGACGAGCTCGGGGTATGCCTCATCACAAGGCTCAGGCGATGGAACTGATGGAGTGGTCAGATCATGCTGCAAGGGAAGGGGAGTGGCCACTGGCTTGGCGTTGTCCATGGCAAAACGCTTGAGGACGTTGTTCACATAGAACTCTTGAGAGAGAGTGATGGTTCGAGCTTCGCGATCCCGCGAGATTTCCATCCCAAGGTAGTTCTTGAGTTCACCGAGGTCCTTCATGGCGAGAGCGTCCCCAAGAGCTTGCTTAACAGCTGCCAGCTGATCGGAGTCCTTGGAGACGAGAATCATGTCGTCAACGTAGACAAGGATGAAGAACGGGTTGTCGTTCTTGCGAATGAAGAGACTCGGATCGGCTGAGGAGGGGTGGAAGTCGAGTGACTCGAGGGTTGCCTTCAGCTTCTTGTGCCATTCCCGAGGAGCCTGCTTCAACCCGTAGACTGGTCGATTCAGCTTCCAGACCGTGCCGGGTGGAAAGGGTAAGGGAAATCCTTGAGGACGTTCCATGTAGATGTCCTCGGGGAGATCCCCTTGGAGAAATGCAGCAGAGACGTCCATGGAGTGAACGTCAAAGTTGCATCGAGCAGCGATGTCCAGCAGGGTCCGAAGTGTGGGCAGTTTGGCTGTCGGAGAGAATGTGTCGAAGAAGTCCAGGCCCTTCTTCTGCGTGAAGCCTTTTGCACAGTATCGCGCCTTGAAGACTGGGAGTTCGCCAGGCAGTTGCTTGACGCGAAAAACCCATTTGCCACGGACAATGTTAACTCCTCGCGGAGGGAGACGTCCGTGAAAGAGTTGTTGCGAATGAATGCTTCACACTCCGCGATCATGGCTGCGAGCCACTGGGGGGAGTGTGGTCCAGAGATGGCTTCATCATATGAGTTCGGGGTCGGGATGGATGGATTTTCCGAGAAGTTAAGAGTTGGAGCGTCGGCAAGGTCGGGGAAGAGATGGCAGAGCTGACGGATGGCAGCATTGATCTCAATCAGCTCCTCATGCCTATCCTCCAAGAGGCCAGGCATGGATGCACCCCCGGCAGGAGGAGGCGGATTGAGGGAGATGCGAACAGAGAGGGCGAGAGGCGGAGCGGGACCATGAGAGCGGGTGCGGTGAGCAATAGGGACAGGAGAGGAGGGAGGTGGCGGGGGAGCAGGTGGGACATCGACATAAGAGCGTCCGTGGCGACGGCGACGATAGGTGATGGGCGAGTCGGGAGGAGAGGTGGAGGTTGGAGGCGGAAGCGGAGGTGAAGGCGGGGAGGGAGGCGCGGGGGCAGGGGGAGCCACAGAAGGAGAGGGAGGTGGAGGGGCAGCTGCAGGAGCGGGTGCAGGGGGAAGTGCAGGCGCGGGCGGAGGTGAACGGGCAACTGAGCCAGTGGGCGAAGAGGGGTGAGAGAGAGTGGAAGGAGATGGGGAAGGTGAGAGTGAGGGGGCCGCAGGAGCGGCAGAGGGAGGAGGTGGGGTGGGTGAAGTATCGAAATCAGCCCACACAAGCGAAGGTGGAGCGGTGGGGGGTGGTGAAGAGAGGTAAAAAGGGCGACTCTCGTCAAAGGCGACATCGCGGCTACGAATGAGCTGATTGGTGGAGAGATTGAGGAAAAGGTAATCGGGAGAGTCCAGGTTGTGGCCGAGGTAGACACAGGGTTGAGCTTTGGGTGCAAATTTGCCGCCGTGGGTGCGACGTTCCTGAGGGTTGAGGAGGACATAAGCTGTACACCCCCATACGCGGAGAGGACGTGCACTGGGCTTGGTGCCGGTCCACAGTTCAGCGGGAGTGATGGCAGGCCGAAGAGGGTGAGGGTGAAGGTTGTACAGCAGCGTGGCATGAAGGAGGGCGTAACCCCAAAGGGAAGGTGGTGCACCAGCGTGAGTGAGAAGACAGCGAGCGATTTGCACGAGAGTGCGATTGCGACTTTCGGCAATGCCATTCTGCTGCGGACTGTGGGGAAGGGTGAAGGTCTGGCGAATGCCTTGGGAGGCACAGAACGCTTGAAGGGAATGGTTTCGAAATTCGCCACCGCCATCGGAATGGAGGCACTTGACTGAAGTGCGGAAATGATTTTGGGCTTGTCGAAGCCATGCGATGACAACATCTGGAACAGCTGCTTTGGAGGAGAGGAGGTGGACGGAGGCATAGCGAGAGTGATCGTCAACGAGCACTAGGAAGTAAGAGTGCCCGCCACGAGAGCGGACTGGAGCTGGGCCCCAGACGTCCATGTGGACGAGGTCAAGCGGGGCGGCTGCAGCAGAGGGCGAGGAAGGGTGAGGCAACTGGCGTAGTTTGCTTTGCGCGCAGTCCAAGCATGGAGGAGCGGGAGAAGTGGAGGGTGGAGGAAGTGTGTCGGGCAGGTGAAGAAGCAACTTCTTAGACGCAAGCTCGGAGAGCATGCGGAAGTTGGGATGCCCAAGACGATGGTGGTAAAGAATGGTTGGATCGGTGAGCTGACGGCAGGAGCACGATGATGTGGTGGAGGTAGAGTGTGCTTCTGTGGAAGATGGAGGTACTTGGAGTGTGTAGAGGTTGTTGGCGGTCAGTGTGAAGCGTGCAAGTAGGGCATTAGTGGTGGGCTGAAGGAGATCACAGTGATTGGAATGAGCTGGGAAGATAGTGGTTACCCCTGCTCGTTGAATCTCATGTTGTGCAAGTAATTGTGCCGAAGAGTGGGCACGCATATGCCAGTGACTGTGCCAGATGGGAAGGCTGGGCATGGAAGAGTGGAGGAACCATGGGCGACAGTTGTGAAGCTGGAGTCAGCGCCCAGAAGAGGAATGGGTGCTTGGTATGGTTTGAAAGACTCTTTGTCTCGGAGGACTGTGTGGGTTGCGCCACTGTCCAGGACGAATTCAAGCGGTTTAGATGGTGTTTGTGGAGACGTCGAGTACTGGGAACTGGTTTCATTGATCATGGGAAGGCCAGGGAACAACAGGTTGAGACGAACATCAGGACTAGGGGCATGAACGGCTGAGTCCTGACTATCCTGTGCCTCAACCTGGTTGAGCTGGCGCATGCGAAGCCAGTTGGGCGGCTTGGAGTTGATACCATTTTGGCGAACCAGTCGTCGTCCTTCTTTTTGAAACAGGTGGCGAGCGGGTGATTGGTGCCGCCGCACACCTGACCCGCACGGGGTCCCATTTTGATGACGTAAGGACAGGGTGGGTAGCGGTTACGAGTGGGTGGCGGATTGGGACGCGATGCTGGAGCCGGGACAGGAGCGCGAAGCGCATTTGCACGAGCCTGCGCAGTGTTGTCTTTTTCAGCAGAGAGAAGTGCGGAAGAGACTTTGGCAAAGGTTAGCTCTTCTGGCGGGAGATGGAGAAGCATGGAGCGGGTGACATTGTAAGAGGGGGTCAGCCCAACAAGCAGAGCTGCTGCAGGGGCTTGCTCTGGGAAGACAATGCCGAGTTGCTTCAGCTCCTGATGAATCCCTTGAATTTCAGCGACGTAATCTGCCATTCCAGGGCACTCCTCCAGACGCACTTGAAACATGCGGGGGATGAGGATCGCCACCCCCACAGCGGTTTTGTTGAGGAAGCGGTCGTTGAGGTACTCCCAGATGGCGTGCGCGGAGGGGTAGTTATGGTAAGTTTTGACGAGCTCGGAAGGGGTAGTGCCGACGAAGACGCCAATGATAGCGGCGTCGGCTTGCTCCCACACGCTGTAAGATTCCTCATACTTGGACATGGATTCCTCATGGGTTTTTAACTCTTCCCCTGTGGCTGTGGCCGAGAGCTTCTTGGGAAGGATCGGCATCTTTCCTTTGCCGCGATTGAGGAGGACATCCTTGAGGCAAATCCCCTCAATTTTGCGGCTTAGGAGATGCTTATCAACCCCATAGCTCCACTCCTTGAAGTTCGGGCTCGAGCCATTTGGGTCGAGGCGCAAGGGAGTGATCGGGTTTGAGAGAGACGCGGAAGGATACGCCATGATGCTCCAAGGACCCTTTCTCCGCGCGTAGCGCAGCTCTTAAGTCGCCGATAGGCACTTCGGCGAAAAACAGGGTTTCCCTTTGCGGATTTTCAACACTCGGAGAAGAGGAATAGCCGATAAAGAGGGAAATCTGAACGCCAAAAATCTATGGAAACCCGCGATGTGCTGCTGCAATCCCGCTGCTCCGCGACCCCCTCCGCTCGCCGCTTTTCCGCTTCGCCGCTGCCCCCTTTCCGCTTCGCCGCTGCCCCCTTTCCGCTTCGCCGCTGCACCCCCCCGCTGTTGCAAGGGCGACGGGCGACAGCCCGTCCAGCTTCGACGAGCAGATGCGGGCGACGGCCAGCCGATCAGGCGAGCAGATGCGGGGCCTCAGCCCGATCAGGTGCGACGAGCAGATGCGGGGCGACGGGCTCAGCCCGATCAGGTGCGACGAGCAGATGCGGGGCGACGGGCTCCAGCCCGAAAAGAAGCGCCGCGCTGAGTTGAGGCGACTAGAAAAGCTTTGCGTCGTAAGACGCAAATGCTAGGCTCCAACGGAGCGAGAGGATCAAGAGCCGCTTAGGCGGAAACGAGCTCTGATACCATATCAGAAACTGAGAACTTGATTGATTGAAATGAGCAAGAGCATACATCCTTAAGTACCGAGCATCGGAGAGGATGGGAAGGGATAAGGGAGAATCGAAGGGAATCCCAAGGGAATCCTCCCAAATCGTGGGGATTTGGGATGGATTGGGTTGGGATAGGTTGGGGATGAAAACATAGCTACACCCAACCTAACAAATATGAGTATCCCTAAAACCAACAAAGTGTCAACACACAAAATTGTGCCAACCGAATTGCAGCCTATCTCTAACACTCTGGACTCTAGACTATGGACTCTGAACTCTGGACTCTGGACTCTGGACTCGGGACTCTGGACTCTGGACTCGGGACTCTCGACTCTGGACTCCGGACTCGGGACTCTGGGCTCTGGACTCGGGACTCTGGACTCTGGACTGGGGACTCTGGACTCTGGACTCTGGACTTGGGACTCTGGACTCGGGACTCTGGACTCGGGACTCTGGACTCTGGACTCTGGACTCTGGACTCGGGACTCTGGACTCTGGACTCTGGACTCTGGACTCTGGACTCTGGAATCGGGCTTCTGGACTCTGGACTCTGGACTCTTGACTCTGGACTCGGGACTCTGGACTCTGGACTCTGGACTCTGGACTCTGGACTCTGGACTCTGGACTCTGGCCTCTGGACTCTGGACTCTGGACTCTGGACTATGGACTCTGGACTCTGGACTCGGGACTCTGGACTCTCCACATTGGACTCTGGATTCGGGCCTTGGACTCTGGACTGTTGACTGGGGACTCCGGACTCGGGACTCTTGACTCTGGACTCTGGACACTTGACTCTGGGCTCCGGACTTGGGACTCTGGACTCTGGACTATGGACTCTGGACTCTGGACTTTTGACTCAGGACTCTGGACTCGGGATTCTCGAATCTGGACTCGGGACTCTGGACTCTGGAATCTGGACTCGGTACTACGGACTCTGGACTCTGGACTCTGGACTCGGGACTCTGGATTCAGGACTCGGGACTCGGGACTCTGGACTCTGGAATCTGGACTCTGAAATCTGGACACGGGACTCTTGACTCTGGGCTCCGGACTATGGACTCTGCACTCTGGACTCTGGACTCTGGACTCTGGACTCTGGACTCCGGACTCGGAACTCTTGACTCTGGACTCGGGACTCTGGACTCTGGACTCTGGACTCCGGACTCTGGCCTCTGGACTCGGGACTCTGGACACTGGACTCGGGACTCTGGCCTCTGGACTCGGGACTCTGGACTCTGGACTCTGTACTCGGGACTCTGGTCTCTGGACTCTGGACTCTGGACTCTAGACTATGGACTCTGGGCTCGGGACTCTGGACTCTGGACCATGGACTCTGGACTCTGGACTCGGGACTCTGGACTCGGGACTCTCGACTCGGGACTCTGGACTCTGGACTCTGGACTCTGGACTCTGGACTCGGGACTCTGGACTCTGGACTCTGGACTCGGGACTCTGGACTCTGGACTCTGGACTCTGGGCTCTGGACTCTGGACTCCGGACTCGGGACTCTGGGCTCTGGACTCGGGACTCTGGACTCTGGACTGGGGACTCTGGACTCTGGACTCTGGACTCTGGACTCTGGACTCGGGACTCTGGACTCGGGACTCTGGACTCTGGACTCTGGACTCGGGACTCTGGACTCGGGACTATGGACTCTCCACATTGGACTCTGGACTCGGGCCTTGGACTCTGGACTGTTTACTCGGGACTCTGGACTCGGGACTCGGGACTCGGGACTCTGGACTCTGGACTCTGGACTCTGGACTCTGGACTCGGGACTCTCGACTCGGGACTCTGGACTCTGGACTCTGGACTCTGGACTCGGGACTCTGGACTCTGGACTCTGGACTCGGGACTCTGGACTCTGGACTCCGGACTCTGGCCTCTGGACTCTGGACTCTGGAATCTGGACTCTGGACTCTGGACTCTGGACTCTGGACTCGGGACTCTGGACTCTGGACTCTGGACTCTGGACTCTAGACTATGGACTCTGGACTCGGGACTCTGGACTCTGGACTCTGGACTCTGGACTCTGCGCTCTGGACTCTGGGCTCTGGACTCTGGACTCCGGACTCGGGACTCTCGACTCTGGACTCGGGACTCTCGACTCTGGACTCCGGACTCGGGACTCTGGACTCCGGACTCGGGACTCTGGACTCCGGACTCGGGACTCTGGACTCTGGACTCTGGACTCGGGATTCTGGAATCTGGACTCGGGACTCTGGACTCTGGAATCTGGACTAGGTACTACAAACTCTGGACTCTGGACACTGGACTCGGGACTCTGGATTCAGGACTCGGGACTCGGGACTCTGGACTCTGGAATCTGGACTCTGAAATCTGGACACGGGACTCTTGACTCTGGGCTCCGGACTAGAGAATCTGCACTCTGGACTCTGGACTCTGGACTCTGGACTCCGGACTCGGAACTCTTGACTCTGGACTCGGGATTCTGGACTCTGGACTCTGGACTCCGGACTCTGGCCTCTGGACTCGGGACTCTGGACACTGGACTCGGGACTCTGGCCTCTGGACTCGGGACTCTGGACTCTGGACTCTGTACTCGGGACTCTGGTCTCTGGACTCTGGACTCTGGACTCTAGACTATGGACTATGGACTCGGGACTCTGGACTCTGGACTCTGGACTCTGGACTCTGGACTCTGGACTCGGGACTCTGGACTCGGGACTCTCGACTCGGGACTCTGGACTCTGGACTCTGGACTCTGGACTCGGGACTCTGGACTCTGGACTCTGGACTCGGGACTCTGGACTCTGGACTCTGGACTCTGGGCTCTGGACTCTGGACTCCGGACTCGGGACTCTGGGCTCTGGACTCGGGACTCTGGACTCTGGACTGGGGACTCTGGACTCTGGACTCTGGACTCTGGACTCTGGACTCGGGACTCTGGACTCGGGACTCTGGACTCTGGACTCTGGACTCGGGACTCTGGACTCGGGACTATGGACTCTCCACATTGGACTCTGGACTCGGGCCTTGGACTCTGGACTGTTTACTCGGGACTCTGGACTCGGGACTCGGGACTCGGGACTCTGGACTCTGGACTCTGGACTCTGGACTCTGGACTCTGGACTCGGGACTCTCGACTCAGGACTCTGGACTCTGGACTCTGGACTCTGGACTCGGGACTCTGGACTCTGGACTCTGGACTCGGGACTCTGGACTCTGGACTCCGGACTCTGGCCTCTGGACTCTGGACTCTGGACTCTGGACTCTGGACTCTGGACTCTGGACTCTGGACTCTGGACTCTGGACTCTGCGCTCTGGACTCTGGGCTCTGGACTCTGGACTCCGGACTCGGGACTCTCGACTCTGGACTCGGGACTCTCGACTCTGGACTCCGGACTCGGGACTCTGGACTCCGGACTCGGGACTCTGGACTCCGGACTCGGGACTCTGGACTCTGGACTCTGGACTCGGGATTCTGGAATCTGGACTCGGGACTCTGGACTCTGGAATCTGGACTAGGTACTACAAACTCTGGACTCTGGACACTGGACTCGGGACTCTGGATTCAGGACTCGGGACTCGGGACTCTGGACTCTGGAATCTGGACTCTGAAATCTGGACACGGGACTCTTGACTCTGGGCTCCGGACTAGAGAATCTGCACTCTGGACTCTGGACTCTGGACTCTGGACTCCGGACTCGGAACTCTTGACTCTGGACTCGGGATTCTGGACTCTGGACTCTGGACTCCGGACTCTGGCCTCTGGACTCGGGACTTTGGACACTGGACTCGGGACTCTGGCCTCTGGACTCGGGACTCTGGACTCTGGACTCTGTACTCGGGACTCTGGTCTCTGGACTCTGGACTCTGGACTCTAGACTATGGACTATGGACTCGGGACTCTGGACTCTGGACTCTGGACTCTGGACTCTGGACTCTGGACTCGGGACTCTGGACTCGGGACTCTCGACTCGGGACTCTGGACTCTGGACTCTGGACTCTGGACTCGGGACTCTGGACTCTGGACTCTGGACTCTGGACTCGGGACTCTGGACTCTGGACTCTGGACTCTGGGCTCTGGACTCTGGACTCCGGACTCGGGACTCTGGGCTCTGGACTCGGGACTCTGGACTCTGGACTGGGGACTCTGGACTCTGGACTCTGGACTCTGGACTCTGGACTCGGGACTCTGGACTCGGGACTCTGGACTCTGGACTCTGGACTCGGGACTCTGGACTCGGGACTATGGACTCTCCACATTGGACTCTGGACTCGGGCCTTGGACTCTGGACTGTTTACTCGGGACTCTGGACTCGGGACTCGGGACTCGGGACTCTGGACTCTGGACTCTGGACTCTGGACTCTGGACTCTGGACTCGGGACTCTCGACTCAGGACTCTGGACTCTGGACTCTGGACTCTGGACTCGGGACTCTGGACTCTGGACTCTGGACTCGGGACTCTGGACTCTGGACTCCGGACTCTGGCCTCTGGACTCTGGACTCTGGACTCTGGACTCTGGACTCTGGACTCTGGACTCTGGACTCTGGACTGGACTCTGGACTCTGGACTCTGGACTCTAGACTATGGACTCTGGACTCGGGACTCTGGACTCTGGACTCTGGACTCTGGACTCTGCGCTCTGGACTCTGGGCTCTGGACTCTGGACTCCGGACTCGGGACTCTCGACTCTGGACTCGGGACTCTCGACTCTGGACTCCGGACTCGGGACTCTGGACTCCGGACTCGGGACTCTGGACTCTGGACTCTGGACTCGGGATTCTGGAATCTGGACTCGGGACTCTGGACTCTGGAATCTGGACTAGGTACTACGGACTCTGGACTCTGGACACTGGACTCGGGACTCTGGATTCAGGACTCGGGACTCGGGACTCTGGACTCTGGAATCTGGACTCTGAAATCTGGACACGGGACTCTTGACTCTGGGCTCCGGACTAGAGAATCTGCACTCTGGACTCTGGACTCTGGACTCTGGACTCCGGACTCGGAACTCTTGACTCTGGACTCGGGATTCTGGACTCTGGACTCTGGACTCCGGACTCTGGCCTCTGGACTCGGGACTCTGGACACTGGACTCGGGACTCTGGCCTCTGGACTCAGGACTCTGGACTCTGGACTCTGTACTCGGGACTCTGGTCTCTGGACTCTGGACTCTGGACACTAAACTATGGACTCTGGACTCGGGAATCTGGACTCTGGACTCTGGACTCTGGACTCTGGACTCTGGACTCGGGACTCTGGACTCGGGACTCTCGACTCGGGACTCTGGACTCTGGACTCTGGACTCTGGACTCGGGACTCTGGACTCTGGACTCTGGACTCGGGACTCTGGACTCTGGACTCCTTACTCTGGCCTCTGGACTCGGGACTCTGGACTCTGGACTCTGGACTCTGGACTCTGGACTCTTGTCTCTGGACTCTGGACTCTGGACTCTAGACTATGGACTCTGGACTCGGGACTCTGGACTCTGGACTCTGGACTCTGGACTCTGCACTCTGGACTCTGGGCTCTGGACTCTGGACTCCGGACTCGGGACTCTCGACTCTGGACTCCGGACTCGGGACTCTGGGCTCTGGACTCGGGACTCTGGACTCTGGACTGGGGACTCTGGACTCTGGACTCTGGACTCTGGACTCAGGACTCTGGACTCGGGACTCTTGACTCTGGACTCTGGACTCTGGACTCTGGACTCGGGACTCTGGACTCGGGACTCTGGACACTGGACTCGGGACTCTGGAATCGGGACTCTGGACTCTGGACTCGGGACTCTGGACTCTGGACTCTGGACTCGGGACTCTGGACTCTCCACATTGGACTCTGGGCTCCGGACTTGGGACTCTGGACTCTGGACTCTGGACTCTGGACCTTGGACTCTGGACTCTGGACTCGGGACTTTCGACTCTCGACTCGGGACTCTGGACTCTGGACTCTGGACTCGGGATTTGGGCTCTGGACTTGGGACTCTGGACTCTGGACTCTGGACTCGGGACTCGGGACTCTGGACTCTCCACATTGGACTCTGGACTCGGGCCTTGGACTCTGGACTGTTGACTCGGGACTCGGGACTCTGGACCCTGGACTCTGGACTTGGGACTCTGCACTTTGGACTCTGGACTCTGGACTCTGGACTACGGACTCGGGACTCTCGACTCTGGACTCGGGACTCTCGACTCTGGACTCCGGACTCAAGACTCTGGGCTCTGGACTCGGGACTCTCGACACTGGACTGGGGACTCTGGACTCTGGACTCTGGACTCTGGACTCTGGACTCTGGACACGGGACTCTTGACTCTGGGCTCGGGACTTGGGACTCTGCACTTTGGACTCTGGACTCTGGACTCTGGACTCTGGACTACGGACTCCGGACTCTCGACTCTGGACTCGGGACTCTCGACTCTGGACTCCGGACTCAAGACTCTGGGCTCTGGACTCGGGACTCTCGACACTGGACTGGGGACTCTGGACTCTGGACTCTGGACTCTGGACTCGGGACTCGGGACTCAGGATTCAGGACTCGGGACTCGGGACTCAGGACTCGGGACTCGGGACTCTGGACTCTGGAATCTGGACTCTGGAATCTGGACACGGGACTCTTGACTCTGGGCTCCGGACATGGGACTCTGGACTCTGGACTCTGGACTCTGGACTCTGGACTCCGGACTCTGGACTCAGGACTCTGGACTCGGGATTCTGGAATCTGGACTCGGGACTCTGGACCCTGGAATCTGGACTCGGTACTACGGACTCTGGACTCTGGACTCGGGACTCTGGATTCAGGACTCGGGACTCGGGACTCTGGACTCTGGAATCTGGACTCTGGAATCTGGACACGGGACTCTTGACTATGGGCTCCGGACTTGGGACTCTGCACTCTGGACTCTGGACTCTGGACTCCGGACTTGGAAGTCTTGACTCTTGACTCTGGAGTTCGGACTCGGGACTCTGGGCTCTGGACTCGGGACTCTGGATTCTGGACTCGGGACTCTGGACTCTGGACTCTGGACTCTGGACTCGGGACTCTGGACTCTGGACTCTGGACTCGGGACTCTGGACTCTGGAATCTGGACTCTGGACTCTGGACTCGGGACTCTGGACTCTCCACATTGGACTCTGGTCTCGGGCCTTGGACTCTGGACTCGGGACTCGGGACTCGGGACTCTTGACCCTGGACTTTGGACTCGGGACTCTGGACTCGGGACTCTTGACTCTGGGCTCCGGACTTGGGACTCTGGACTCTGGTCTCTGGACTCTGGACCTTGGACTCTGGACTCTGGACTCGGGACTCTCGACTCTCGACTCGGGACTCTGGACTGTGGACTCTGGACTCGGGACTCTGGGCTCTGGACTTGGGACTCTGGACTCTGGACTCTGGACTCTGGACTCGGGTCTCTGGACTCTCCACATTGGACTCTGGCCTAGGGCCTTGGACTCTGGACTGTTGACTCGGGACTCTGGACTCGGGACTCGGGACTCTGGACCCTGGACTCTGGACTTGGGAGTCTGGACTCGGGACTCTTGACTCTGGGCTCCGGACTTGGGACTCTGGACTCTGGACTCTGGACTCTGGACTCTGGACTCAGGACTCAGGACTCTGGACTCGGGACTCTGGAATCTGGACTCGGGACTCTGGACTGTGGAATCTGGACTCGGTTCTACGGACTCTGGACTCTGGACTCTGGACTCGGGACTCTGGATTCAGGACTCGGGACTCGGGACTCTGGACTCTGGAATCTGGACTCTTGAATCTGGACACGGGACTCTTGACTCTGGGCTCCGGACTTGGGACTCTGCACTCCGGACTCGGAACTCTTGACTCTGGACTCTGGACTCTGGACTCTGGACTCCGGACTCGGGACTCTGGGCTCTGGACTCGGGACTCTGGACTCTGGATTCGGGACTCTGGACTCTGGACTCTGGACTCTGGACTCTGGACTCTGGACTCGGGACTCGGGACTCTGGACTCTGGACTCTCGACTCTCGACTCTCGACTCTCGACTCTCGACTTGGGACTCTGGACTCGGGACTCTGGACTCGGGACTCTGGACTCTGGACTCTGGACTCTGGACTCGGGTCTCTGGACTCTCCACATTGGACTCTGGCCTAGGGCCTTGGACTCTGGACTGTTGACTCGGGACTCTGGACTCGGGACTCGGGACTCTGGACCCTGGACTCTGGACTTGGGAGTCTGGACTCGGGACTCTTGACTCTGGGCTCCGGACTTGGGACTCTGGACTCTGGACTCTGGACTCTGGACTCAGGACTCAGGACTCTGGACTCGGGACTCTGGAATCTGGACTCGGGACTCTGGACTGTGGAATCTGGACTCGGTTCTACGGACTCTGGACTCTGGACTCTGGACTCGGGACTCCGGATTCAGGACTCGGGACTCGGGACTCTGGACTCTGGAATCTGGACTCTTGAATCTGGACACGGGACTCTTGGTTCTGGGCTCCGGACTTGGGACTCTGCACTCCGGACTCGGAACTCTTGACTCTGGACTCGGGACTCTGGACTCTGGACTCCGGACTCGGGACTCTGGGCTCTGGACTCGGGACTCTGGACTCTGGACTCTGGACTCTGGACTCTCGACTCTCGACTCTCGACTTGGGACTCTGGACTCGGGACTCTGGACTCTGGACTCTGGACTCTGGACTCTGGAATCTGGACTCTGGACTCTGGACTCGGGACTCTGGACTCTCCACATTGGACTCTGGTCTCGGGCCTTGGACTCTGGACTCGGGACTCGGGACTCGGGACTCTGGACCCTGGACTCTGGACTCGGGACTCTGGACTCGGGACTCTTGACTCTGGGCTCCGGACTTGGGACTCTGGACTCTGGTCTCTGGACTCTGGACCTTGGACTCTGGACTCTGGACTCGGGACTCTCGACTCTCGACTCGGGACTCTGGACTGTGGACTCTGGACTCGGGACTCTGGGCTCTGGACTTGGGACTCTGGACTCTGGACTCTGGACTCTGGACTCGGGTCTCTGGACTCGGGACTCTGGACTCGGGACTCGCGACTCGCGACTCTGGAATCTGGACTCTGGACTCTGCACTGTGGACTCGGGACTCTGGACTTAGGACTCTGGACACTGGACTCTGGACTCTGGACTCTGGACTCGGGACTCGGGACTCTGGACTCGGGACTCGGGATTCTGGACTCGTGACTGAGGACTCTGGACTCTCGACTCTCGACTCTCGACTCTGGACTCTCGACTCTCGACTCTCGACTCTGGACTCGGGACTGTGGACTCTGGACTCGGGACTCTGGACTCGGGACTCTAGACTCGGGACTCTGGACTGTGGACTGTGGACTGTGGACTCAGGACTCTGGACTCGGGACTCGGGACTCTGGACTTGTGACTCGGGACTCTGGACTCTCGACTCTCGACTCTCGACTCTCGACTCTGGACTCGGGACTCTGGACTCTGGACTCGGGACTCTGGACTTGGGACTCGGGACTCTGGACTCGGGACTCGGGACTCTGGACTCTGGACTCTGGACTCTGGACTCTGGATTCGGGACTCTCGACTCTCGACTCTCGACTCTCGACTCTGGACTCTGGACTCGGGACTCTGGACTCGGGACTTGGGACTCTGGACTCAGGACTCGGGACTCGGGACTCTGGACTCGGGACTCTGGACTCGGGATTCGGGACTCTGGACTCGGGACTTTGGACTTTCGATCGATTGCGATCGTTTCGACATGTTTCCACTGTTCTATTGTCGCTTATGATTGACGTCCAAGATCTCCCGACCGGGGTGCTGCAAGGGTGGGAAGTTTCACTGCTCTATTCACCCAGCTTGCCCTCTCTCCCCAGTTTTAATCCCTCCCTCCCCCTCCATTTTCGACCCCCCCTTCCCCCTCTGTTTCGCTTCTCCCCTTCCGTCCGTTTCGATCTCCCCCCTTCCCCTCCATTTCGCTTCCCCCCTCCCCTCAAGGAAGGTTTGTCTACTTGCCCAGCTCACCCTCATATCTGTTATATATCTGTTTATGACTTCGGCAAAAGTTTGGGCTGTTTGGGGTCGGGGTGTTAGGGAGACTGTGTGATAACCCCACTTAGCGGAGATTTCGATGTGTTGTGGGGTGCGTGGGGGATGTCTCTAGCGTTCGGGGACTAAGCTGAAAACTTCGATGGGTTGTGGGGTGTGTGGGGGATGTCTCTAACATTCGGGGACTTAGAGCATGTTCCTACGAGCCTCTTCCCTGGCAACCTCTTCCCAGACTCACGCGCGACCTTGATATCGTGTTCCCAGGATCACTTTTTGGAATACTCCCGTTTCATATTTGCGCTCCATCGCTCTCAACCACATAAACCCAGCTAGTGTTGAAAGTTTACTGTGCAGATTCGCGCTTGTCTGAAAATCTGCTCGTCTGAAAAGAGGTTTTAAAACACGCCCCTGAATCTCGGGAAGAGGTTGCTTGGGAAGAGGCTGGTAGGAACACGCTCTTAGCTGATTTTTTCTGGATTGTGTGCTGGTAGTAGGTACATGTATTTCAGGGTCTGTACGCACTGTGCCCTGAGACTCAGTACTGGGTTCGCAACAAGTCAAATTTTCAGGATCTGTAAAATCGTACTCTGAATTGTTCAGGATTGGGAAATTGGGTAATCTGAAAATTCAGGTTTAGCCAACAATAGGATCTGAAATTTCAGATTAAACAGACTAAACTAAGTAGTCTGGTAACTCAGCTCTGGTCTCAAGGCTTGATGCAGCCTGCCCTGTGCAACCTGCTCCTCCCATCTGTGTTTCTGATCCTCCCTAGTCCTCCCTCCCTAGTCCTCCTTAGTCCTCCCTTGACCACATTCTCTGCCTAGGGAGGAGTATCTCAGGCTGTCATGATATTTGTGGCTCAGCAGTGGCTGCTTTGCACCAGTTGCTATTCCAACCTGGTAGCCACATTTGCGAAGGCTAACCTAGACACTGCTCCTACTGCATCTACCCACTACTGTCACTGCTGCCATTGCTGCCACTGGAGCTGCTGCTGCTGCTGCATGCGGACAGTTGGCAATGCTTCATCCGGCAGTGCACTGCAGTGAACAGGGCAGTAGCAGTATGGGCTCGAAGTAGCATGCTATCCCCAAAGCGCTGCAGTTCCTTGTGCCACACCGCTCGGCTCTCTCTCTCTTGTTTCTTGGAGCATTGCCGGTTGCGGCATCGCATCACTCCTCCTAGCCTTGCCCTGCTCGTAGACAAAATTGGTCATTGGTCAGCCACAGCCAGGCCTGGTTGAAGGGCCGATTTCAGCCTGATCCCTCCCGATCAAGCACGCCCAGAGGGTAAGAGAGCGCCAAAGGGGGCAGAGGAGAGAGATGCACCAGGGGGCTGACCACCAAGTGAACAATCTACTTCGCGGCTCAGGCACCACAAGCCGTGGTTGGGCAGGACTAGTCGAAGAAGTAGGGAGCTGAGAGCACGTTGTTGAGGTCAAACTGGCCCCGGCGCGGCACGCTGGGGAAGTCCAGGTGGGGGTACTTCTCCCGAAACTCCTCTAAGAGCTGATGGGGACCGCAGGGGCACAAGTGTGGTGGGCATGGGGGAGAGGGGTTGGGGGGGTGAAGGTAGGGGAGAGAAATGAGAATTGGCGCAGCAGCAGGGACAGCAGCATGTGCAACGTTTTAACGTTCGGCGCAAAGCATACGAAGGGCGCAGAGAGAAGAAAGAAAGCAAGTCGATTGGTCGCGAGAGGAATTACATGAGGTTGAGGGAGGGAAGGAGGAAAGGAGGGAGAGGGCACTGACATTCTCGAGCAGTGGCTGGCCATGCAGGGCAACGAACTGCTTTCGAAGGATCTCATTCATGCGATCCACACTGGCTGCGTGCGTCCAGTACGAGTCGTGCACACCTGCGGAGGGAAAGAGAGACAAGATGTGGACAGGGGGTTTGTAATTGGAAAGTTTGTTTCTGTCAGTCGGCTCACTAGTCAATGATAGAACACAGAAACAGAGAAATCTACTTTTGGAGCCCCTCAAAAAAAAAAAAAAAAAAAACAGAAACAAAGGGAGCGGTTCCAAGGATCCAGTGAAAGGTGTCCAAGGGAGGTGAGGCGTGAGACACGAAAGAACTGTAGAAGACGAGAATATGGGTGAGAGCAGACGCCAGGGCATAAGGATGAAATGATTCTGGGGAACAAGAGCAGAGTAGATCAGCACAGCAGAGAGCGGATGCACGCATGCGCGCGCTAGCAAGAGATGGCACCGAGAGCAGCAGACGCATGCACACACCAGCAAAAGTGATGCAGCGGTTGCAGCAAGCCAAGCCAGTCATCATGATGTTTTGAGGAGCCTAAAAAAAAGTATTGTATCGAGAACAGCAGATGCATGCACGCACCGGCGAATGTGATGCGGCGGTTGTAGCAGGCCATGGCGGTCATCATCATGTGCGTGGAGTCCAGCGAATGCACAAAGTTGGGCGGGAACGCTGACTTCTGCCGCTGCCCCACCACCTGCAGGAAGCAGCACAGAGAGGGGGAAAGGTAGAGGGGAAAATACAAGGACCGCTTGAGAGTGCGCAAGGGGGAAAGGGGGAGGGGAGAAGCCAGGGCACGGAAGCATGCAGTGCCGGGTCACAAACCGAGTCGAGTAACAAGAAATTAATGCACTCCTTTGTCTTCCGTTCCCAGCCATTCACGCTTACCCTCTTCCCCACTCACATGTCCCCTTCCCTCCCCCCTCACACATCTCTTCCACTTCCTTCCTCTCCCTTCCTCCCACACCACCCCAAGAAGTGGACGCACACCCCACAGCATGCCCTAGTCAAAGGGTAAAAGACTGCAGCACAGGATACAATACAACTTCAACAGCACCCCATACCCCCTCCCCCCGGCCCCCCGCTCCCCTAGGCGCTCACGTCGTGGCGCATGCGTCTGTCAATGAGAGTGAAGGAATGCAGCGCGGTCTTGACAACCTTAAGGTAAGGCTGCACACTGCCACCTAGACCCACCCCTGCCCCCCGCTCCCCTCATTCCCACCCCAAGAAGCGAGTGCTCACGTCGCGGCGCATGCGCGCGTCGATGAGCGTGAAGGACTGCAGCGAGGTCTTGACGACCTTGCAGCATGGCTGCGCATTGCCATCCCGCATCTCGCATCTACTCCCCTCCCTGGATCCCACATCCCCCCTTCTCCCCCCTTCTCCCCCCTTCTCCCTCCCCCCCAACCCCAGGAAGCGGAATCTCACGTCGCGGCGCATGCGCTCGTCGATGAGCGTGAAGGACTGCAGGGCGGTCCTGACGACCTTGCGGCCCTCCTTGCGGTACGGCTGCACCACTGGCAGCCCCAGGGGCGTCGTCCAGCTCACCGACTCGTTCTCTGCTGCTATCAGCTGCGGGGGGAGCGGTGGGGTGGGAGGTGGCAGAGGGAGCAGAGGGGGAGTGTGTGGGATGAGAGAGGTGGGAGTGGGTGAAGAGATACGGAAGTGCAGGGATACATGGGTACAGGAGTTGGGAGAAAGATCGAATGAGGAAATGGGAAGCAAGGGAATGGAAAAGGATGAGGGGGCTCGGGAAGTGAGGAGTGGAGGGAAGAGGGGACTACCTGTGCGCATTTCCCGAGCCACGCCATGATCTGGCGGGCGGAGTCAAACATCTGGTCCATGGCTGCCAGCGTCACCTGCAGCAGGCAATACGCATGGGTCAATGAGTCACGTGGAAACAGGCACGCATGCATGCATGCATGTGCCATATGCACTGCAATACGCGACAGAGGCACGTGAGGCACATGCACGAGCGATAGGGGCAGTGGCATCCGAGGGGGGCGAGGAGAGAGGAGAGGGGACGAGAAGCACACTCCCACCCACCCACCCACCCACGGCACACACCCACCCACCCTCAACACAGCAGCACACACCCTGCACCAACTGCTCCAGCAGCCAATTCACCGCCTGAAACCACAGCTGCGGCTCACCTTAGCAGCGTAGGCTGAAGCGGAGTAGAGCTGGCGGTCGTCGTCCGTGAGCGACCGCTCCTTGATGCGGTTCATGATCTGCGTGCGCGCGCCCACGAACGTGACGCCGTACACGGACGTCATGACCGTCTGCTTCACCAGCTTGCGGTCCACCTGCCCCGTCAGGAACCGCGCCTGCACGCCCCGCCTCCGCGCGTCCTCACTCGCCGAGTGGTCGCTGCTGCCAGCGCTTCTGTTGCTACCTAGCCTAGATCTGTCGCCTGCTAATCTAAGTACGCCGGCCTCACTTCTAGAGGTACTTGCGCCATCGTCATTGTCGTCATGGTCATCGTCACTAGGTAGCAAAGTGGCAGCGGGGTCGTTGTCACTGCTCCAGTCCTCCTCGTCTCCTCTACATGTGCCAACGCTGCTGCTGCTGCTGCTGCTACTCCTACTGTGCTTGCCACTGCCGCTGCCGCAACCAGTCGCCATACCATCGCCTAGAATGGCATCGAGAGCAGCAACATCGGCAGCTGAAATAGGGCCAGCATCGCCACGCAGGGAATCATCTCCCTCTCCCTCTCTCACCTCTTTTCCCTCCCGCCCCTCCCTCCCCTCCCTCCCCTCCCCCACATCACTGCTGCATGTCGCAGCATGTGAAGCATCCACACCTTCCGCCTTCCCATTGCTGTGCCTCTGCCTGTGCGGCTGACTGGGACTGGGCGGCCTGTGGCTGCCTGCCACGTCACGCTGCACCACCTCCTTCACCAGCTCAGCAATGCCCGTGTACACGTCAGCAGGGCGCTCGTTGCTCACCATGTTCACTGACCGCGCTCCGTCCTAAGGAGGAGTGGGGTTGGGGGGGGGGAGGGGGAGGAAGTCAGAGATGGGATGAGAGGAGAGATGAGAGAAGGATGCAAGAAGGAATGGGAATATCAAATCAAAGAAGAGCACAGGAGGGCAACCCGTAAACCCCAAAATCAATGCAAAATTTCAAGCACGCATTGGGAGTAACACACCTCCCTCCCTCAACCACCACCACCTTAACCACCCCCTATCATCCCATCCATCACCACCTCCCATGCACCAGCACAAGCATCTCTCCCACATGTCCCCCTACCGGCCCTCACCCTTCCCCTCCCCCTCCCCATCCCCCTCCCCCTCCCCCCACCCACCCCCTAGCCACTCACCACATCCCTCCCCAGCGCCGCATAGTGCTGCAGCCCATTGCACGACCCGTCCTGGTGCACGGGCAGGTGCGACACAAACTTCTCGGGGCAGCCCGAATCCACGGCGCTGACAATCTCAATGCATGCCGCCAGGCACTGGAAGGGGTCCTCCGCCTCCATCCACCACCCCCCTCCCTCCTCCAATGGCTGCTCCGCCGACGCCCGCACCTCCTCCATCCTCTCATCCACGAACTTCACGCGGTCGTCAAAGCTCAACTTGTCTGCGCCGCTGCCAACTAGATTGGCCAGGTGGACTTTCAGCCAGCGCAGCCCCGAAGGGCCAAGGGGCTTGCCGTGTGCAAAGTGGAGGAGGCCGCGGCAGTGGTCGGCGCCCAGGTGGTTGAGGTGCGGGTGCATGGGGTAGGCGCGGCCGCGGAAGTCCAGGTTGTGCGGGTAGTAGAAGCGCGGCTCCTGCGCGTACTGACGGGCCACCTGGAAGGAGACGAGGGGGGGAGGGGGGAGCGGAGAAAGGTGCTTTGATGCTACGAAAAAGGGTTAGTGAAGGATGGACGGGGATGGGGGTGTGGGAACGGTGCTGGTCAGGAGGAGAGGAATCACAGCATGACATGGCCATGCACGCTCTGGTATCCACACGCCATGCTGCTTCCCCACCTGCCCTGCCCCAGCATCACCCACACCGCATCCCATCCCATCCCATCCCATCCCATCCCATCCCATCCCATCCCATCCCATCACGCCACCCCCTGCACGCCACCCCGCCCCCTCCCCCCCCCCCCCTTTCCCTCTCGTCACGGCACCTCGAGCTTGAGGCGGAGGTCCTGGCGCATGGAGTGGCGCTCCATGTTCTCCTTTACCGCCTTCTTGCGCGCGCGCCGCCACGCCTTGCGCTCCTCCTCCGACACTCCCTCGTCCGGCTCCTCTGGCACCGGCACCTGGGGGGGAGAGAGGAACGGAGGACGGGGGGAAGGGCGCGAGGGGGGGGAGAGGAGGAGAGAGGGGGGAAGGAGGAAGGAGAGGGGTTGGTGGGGAGTGGGAGGGTGGGCCAAGCGAGACGAGTGAAAGTAATCGAGAACTGAACCGGAAGCAGGATGGGGGCACGAATAGAAGGAACGGGAAGGCAATGGAGGGGGATCGAGAGGAATCAACATGTGGGGCGGGAAGGCCGAAACTGACATCGTTTCTGTCGACGAGGCCGGCCTTGCACCCTCCGTCCTGCCATATCTGCTCCAGCACCGCCAGCACCTTCTGGTTGATGCGCCATGGCGTGGACCCCAGCACGTTCAGCGCCTGATGGGGAGATGCAGGGAGAGAAAGGGGAGTGAGAAAGGGTGAAGGGAGGAGGCGGAGTGTCGAGTGAAATAGGACGGGGAGGCATGTGAGAAAGTGGTAAGTCCTGTGCTACATTATGCAGTCTGTGTGTGTTTGATCGGGCAGCGGTGGCAGATGACTGAACCAATGGGCAATGGGGAAAAGACGAACCAATGACAAGCTATCTTCTGGCAGGGCAGGGTAGGGCAGGGCAGGGCAGGGCAGGGCAGGGCAGGGCGGGAGACTGACCCGGAAGACCCTTTTGAGTCGGCTGGGGTCGGTGCGCTGCAGCACATTGCGCTGCTCGGGGTTGCCAAACACACGCATGATGCTGCTGGGGAGGAAGAGGTACCCGCCCCAGTTGTACCTGCAGGGGGAGAGAGGGAGACAGAGAGAAACAGAGAGGACACATGGCAGAGGACGAGTAGAGGGGTGGTGGGTAGAAGCAGCAAACGGAGTGAACAGGCAGGAACAGGGGAGCCACACAGCATTGCCGCAGGAGAACGCCTGATCCTGAACTATAGCATGAAGTGAAGGCAGGAGCGACTTGACTGCATACAATATGCATCATGCATGCCTGCCAGCCCAACCCCCTCCCTCCTTTGTGGAAACAGCAAGAGCAGGGTCACCTGCGCCATTCTCGAGGCGGCACGAGCATGGGCATGTAGGGCATGAAGGGCACGTGCTGCAACGCCTGTGCGGTCACAGAGAGGGACAGGGACAGAGAGGCAGGGCAAGAGAGTCAGTCAGGCAAGAAGTAAAAGAACAAGGAAGAGGAAACGTAGACACACAGGTTAAAGTAAGGGCCAATTTGTTGGTTTGAAATACAGGTCCGGGGTTCGGGTTCTCCAAGAAAGAGATGCACGACGGAGGGGCGAGTGCGCAGGTGACACTTGGTAAGCACACCCATGCATGATAGCTAGTCAGCAACGCCATGCGTAACATGGCATGGCATGGCATGGCATCTTACGAATTTATCGAGGATGTCTTCGAGCTCCGTGGCACATGCAACCACTCCGTACCGCTGATGCGCGCTGCTCATATGGATGGGAGTGAATGGATGGGTGGATGCGGGAGGGCGGGTGGGCGGGTGGGTGAGAGGGTGTGCAACGGGTGGGTAGGTGGTGCATGCTTCGGGAGGGGACAGAGTGAAGACTGATAACAAGAGCAGCAGGAGAGGAGCGAGAGGAAGAGAGGAGAGAAGTCTAATTCTCAGGCGATGCTTACAAGGCTGCCATGAAGGAGGACAGCACAGAGAGGGAGGGGCGAGAGAAAAGGTGGAAAGAGAGAGAGGAAGTGGCGAGAGGGAGAGGAAGGGCTGAGAGAAGGGAGAGAAAAAGGGGAACGGTGGCAGGTAGGGGGTGGTGAGGCGGGGCGCTCGGAACTAACCCGCCAGTGCCCAGTTTGACTCGATCCATCACAAAGGCTGGCACAAATTCCTCCTCCTCCACCCCCCCCTCCGCGCCCTTCCTCCCCTCCTCCACTCCCCCCTCCGCGCCACTCTTCCCCTCCCCTCCGCCGTTCCCCCTCCTCAGCAGCGCCTGCGGCACGTGGGCGGACTGCAGCAGCAGCTGGATGAGGCACGACCCCACCTGCACGTAGTGCTCCGTGCCCCACGGCTCCTGCGCCTGCGCCACGGCCGCCGCCACCAGCCGCTTCTTCTGCCACTCCGCCATCTGCCTCTCCCGCCCCAGCTTCCGCAGCACCTCCCTCTGCGCCGCCACCCGCCCCATGTCCACCTCCGCCTCCTCCGCCTCCTCCGCCTCCTCCTTCACGGTCCCTGCCCCCGCGCCTGCTCCCGCTGCCCCCTTCCCCCCTCTCCCCCCTCGCCCCTTGCTTTTCTCCCCCGCTGCCCCTGCTCCTCCCCCGTCCCCTTCCCCTTCCGCCCCCTGCTCCGCCTGCAGGGCCTGCGACGCCTGCTTCTGCTTCTTGCGCTGGGCGCGCATGCTGCGGCGCACCTCGTCCTGCACGCGCGCCAGGTTCACCTCCACCTCCACTGCCTTGCCGATCTGCGTCGCCAGCGACACCGTCCGAGCGAACGACTTGAAACCCTTCTCTGTCTCGCCCCTCACCCCTCCGCCGCCGCCGCCCCGGCCCCCCCGCTGCCCCTGCGCGCCCTCCCTGCCGCGCGCCATGCGCGCCTGCTCCGATAGGAGCAGATCCACGGTGCGGTTTAGGGTGATTGCGGCGAGCTTCTCCGCATCCACCTTCACTAGGAAGTCCCCAAACACCTGCAGCGCGCGATCGGCGCTGCTGAGGCCGCTAACACCCGTACCACCACCACCACTACCAGCACTGCTACTCTTCCCACTGCTGCTGCTGGGGGTGGCGAGGGCCCCCCCGGTCTCATACCGCGTTCGCTCCTCCAGCACAGCGCCCTTGAGCCGCCCGAACCACTGCGCCATGAGCTGCTGCCCCATGCCGGTGCGCGGGCCCATGCGCTTCTTCATCATGTCGTGCTGCTGCCGCCGGTGCTCCTCCGCCGCCCGCTTGTACGCCTCCACCTCGCGCGCCCGCTGCCGCTCCTCGTCCTCCGCGCGCACTCGCAGCTTGCTGCGCCGCTCCTCCACCTCCTCCAGCGCCACGCGCATCAGCTCCGCCACGCGCGCGCGCCACAGCGCCTCCTCCGCCACTGGCATCCCCCCCCGCCCGTCCCCCCGCGCCAGCGCCTCATGGGCGCTCTCCGCGGCCGCGGCAGCTCCGCCAGCACCAGCGGAAGAGACTGCTGATGATGATGGCGCGGCGGAAAGAATCCCGCCAAGGGCGGAGTCTGTATAGTGCCGTTGCTGCACCTGCTGCGCCTGCTGCCGCTGCTGCCGTTGTCGCTGCTGCTGCTGCTGCTGCTGGTGCCTCCGCTGCTCATTTCCCCCAACCTGCCCCTGCCCCCTTGCGCCGTCCGCCCACTCCCCGCCCGCCTCCCCTTCCCTTGCGGCCCCCTCTGAACCCAAAACCCTGCCGCGGGAACTCGACTCGGCGCGCAGCGGATCTGAGAATCTTTCCGCCACCAGCCGATCCCAGATAGTGCTTCTGAAGTCGTCGCCAGAAACCCTGGTGCTCTCGGCTAAACCCTCCTCCAGCCCCCCACTGCTGCTGCTGTTCTGCCCTTGTGCCACCCTCTGCATCTGCCCCAATCTGAACGAGCCACGTCGGATGGGGTCAAGATCTAGGGTCCACAGAGGCTCCGTGTCCTCCGCTATTGCCTGCCCCGCTACCTTTGGCTCTGCTTCTCCCGGGCTTGCTCCTAGAGCAGAGTCTACGCCTGCGCCTGTTTCAGCCTCTGCGCCAGACAAGTCAGAAACCGGTTGCGGGACGCCCGCAGGCGCAGCAGTTCCCGAAATGCCCCTGCCCCGCCCGTTCCCTTCCCCGACCTGCCCAATCCCGCTCCCCCCAAGAGCCCCCCCAAGCCTGCGCAAGACATCCTCCCGCCCCCCGCTCCCGCCCGAGGCAGTCGGTAACCCCGCGCCCCTGGCGACCGCCAATGACCAGGGGCCGGCGCTCGTTACCCGCGCCGCCCCGCTGACGGCGTTAACCGCGTTGACTGCGGCTGCGTCGGGTGCGGTCACCCACGTGTCGATGACGTGGAAGACGGAGGTGGGGCAGACAGCAGCGAGCAGCTGGCGACACGGCAAGGCCATGCTGGTCGCTAGCACCGCCGCAGGCGCCGCGTCAGCCGCCGCGTCTGCCGGAACGAGAGCTCCGCTCCTCGATCGCGACGCCGCCGCCGCCACCGCCGCCGCCCCTGCGTTCGCTGCCGCTGAGACGTTTGCGAGATGCCTGGATCGATCGGAGGGGAAGAGATGCTGCGCGATGGCGTCGCGATCTATCAGCGCAGGGGGGGCCGCGGCGGAAGAGGCGGCGGAGGGGGAAGAGGACGGCATGGGCGACGGCGAGGAGACCGCGGGAACGGCGCCCGTGTGCACAAGCTGACGTTGGATATACCGCACGTGCGGCACGTGTGCAGCCTGTGAGCCTTGTAGGGATGACGTGGACGTCTGGATGGCGCCTATTGAGGGTACTCTGACGGGATTCAGGGTTTTAGACGGATCTAATCTCTGAGCTTCGCCGGGGGGAACCCCTCCTTCTCTTTGGCGTCGTTGGCGGGAAGCAAGAGGGGAAGTGGGGCGATACGAGCGAGAGCCCCAGTACCTAAGGGCGCGAGATCCGGAGTGAGACGGGTGAGAGGGATAGAAGGCGGAACGGGGAGGGTGAAAGTGGGAGGACGCAGCCCCCCATCCCACGGCTGGGATCGAGAGAAGCGCGGAGACTGCGTGCGATGAACGGCTCGTGATCGGAACCGCCAGATCCGCCGGGTTTGGCGCGCTAGACGACACACAGCTGGCGAGATCACAGCCGTGTCGCACCAGAACATCCTCCACGCCGTCACAGCTCCGCACGGCGGCGCAGCCGTCGACCCCGGCGGCAAAGGCGGCGCCATCGGCGGCGGGGACGGACGCAGTGGCGGTTGTGGCGCTTGAGCTGGTGATGTGACGAGCGGGCGAAGCTTCCCAGAATCTGTGCAGCTGCTCGGCCTGTCGCCGCACGGAACTCTTGCCCCTGTGAAGCCAGTTGGCCGTTGACGTGAACGGACCCCGCCACATGGCTGCAGGCGCTCAGACGAGAGAGGCTACCACGACAGCGAACGAGGCGTAGGAAACATGGAAGAACATGTATCGGCGGCTTGCGTTCGAGCAACAGATGTCAAGGTCATCCGTGCAATACAAGCCGGATTCGATGGCTGAGCAAGCACCTAACTAGCTAATCTGCCCAGACAAGTGAGAAACCAGATGATGAGTGCTAGCTTCTAGACAGCTATGGTGTGCGTGAGGGCCAAGAATCACATGTGCGTGGTGGGCGAATGTGCCAATAATGAGGGTCGCTGGCCACCAAGGATTGCAAAATCTTTAGTCCAATCAGGGGCACGGCAAATCTCTCAAATTTGTCCTGTTCGGCGATAAATTTCGCGCATTCTGTGACTGCACCAATCAATCAAAGCGATTGCGGTGACCACGTCATCATCTGCGGCTAGCGACAGCCTTTCCTGGTTACATCGCGTATTGCTGCTCTGCAGATGGAGCCACAGGTCTTGTAACGAGTATAGTCCGGGAAAACTGCGAAGGGCGGCACAGAAATGGGCTGTGTGAAGAATCAACGCATAATGGAAGAAAAGAAACATTCCAAATAATCTGAATTTCCTTCTAGATTCTTAGTGCTACAATTTTAGGGGCATTAATCAAATGTTGCATGGAAGGTTTGTTAACTCTAAAGCGGAAACCCTGCCTTACCAGCCTATGTTTCTACTGAGTAATGGATTATTGGAGCAGGAGTGCATGCGGGATGCGAGATGCGGTATGCGAGATGGCTGTAGCCAGCAATGAAGGGGAGGGCAATTTCTCTAAGTGTGCAGGAGTAGGAAACTTCCCAGCAGTAGCGAAGCCTGCCGTGACATGAAGCAACTGCCACACCAAGAGCGGGGACGGGTTTAAGAATGCACTGACTTCGGGTTGAGGAGCTGAGGTGGACCAGGGACTCCTTCAAGTGGGAAAGGGAAAACCTTGCGAGGGGGGGCGCCACCGTGCCAGTGCTAGAAAACTTCCACCAGCTGCTCTGCAAATCACTCAAAGAAACCCGTGCCAAATGACTCCTTTCCTTTCATTCTACGCCATGTGCCACAGCAACCATGACAGCTCTCTCTCAGTTTGTCCTGCGTTTCAGGGAGCCCCAGCAGAGGTGACAGACGTGGGCAAGCCCTTGGCCTGCATGGTCTTGAGCGTGTTAGACAGCCAGTCCAGCCCCTCATAGAGCCCCTCGCCCTTGGGAGCACATGTGCCTTGAATGTGCCAGTAGCGGTTCCGCAGCTGCTGCAGCCCCATCATCTCACACACCTCCAATGGGGACAAGGCCCCTTTCTGCCGTGGCGAGGAGGGGAACGGGAAAGGGATAGAAGCGCGATGAAGGGGAATGGAAGCAGCACGGGAAGTGCTCGCGGAGTGGTATCATGGGCAAATGGAATCGTGACAGTGGAGACACATGTTGTGAGCTTTTCTTGCTCTCACATGAACACAATAAGGAACCTTGCTCGCAAGCGGAGTGAATCCCCTCCCCCCCCATCCCCGGACTCGTTGAAACAATCAGAAGCAAGGAGAATATCCACGTGTCACTGCACGGACCAGGTCTTGCTTGTTGGCGAAGACAAGGATGGCACTGTTGCGCATCAGAGGGTCGCTCACTATTGTCTGGTAGGAAACGGAGGGGAAAGGAAGGGGGAGAGGCGGAGGAACGAGAGAGGGAAAGAGAACCATGAGTGGTGGGTGGCTGGAGAAGGAGTCATGCAGTGAGGAACCTGGGAAGAGAGATGGACGGCGCTTAGTAGAAACACATGAATGAGATACCCAACGGTGGGCATAGGAGAAGGCAAGGGCTCACCTGGAATTCACGAGCTGCTTGCTTGACTCTCTCCTTGTCCAGCGAGTCCACCACATAGATCTGAGAACACGGGGAGAGGAGACGTGGTAGCAGCAGGAGCCATGAAGCATGATACACAGCACAGATGCTGACTTGGTGCTGGTCAACAGCTCAGCAGGATGGATGTGGCGCTGGATAACAACACGCCATGATGGATCAGGTGGCGAAATGGCATGGGCAACTGTGGTGCAGAAGTGGCTCAGAGGCGGTCATGGTACTTTCGTACCGGGACGCCACAGGGGGGACCAATGCGAACGGATCCATGTCTGTGCATGCCAAACGGTCAACGGACAGACGCATTCCACTCTATAAAAGAAATCTTACTGTGCTCCTTTATGTTCGTGCATCTGGAATCTGCAGGCCGTTACGGTCAGCACCACCTGATCATTTGCCACAGGCGTTTGCATGCACAGTAAGGGCAGGGCAGCAGAGCAGAGCACGCACCAGCGCGTCAGTGTTGTTGAAGTAGTGCCGCCACAGCGGCCGCAGTTTCTCCTGGCCGCCCACGTCCCACACCGTGAATTGCACGTTCTTGTACTGCACCTTCTCCACGTTGAACCCTGGGATCCACGCCACGCCACGCCACGCACAGCGCAACGCACAACGACAACGCGCAACGACAACGCGCAACGACAACGCGCAACGACAGCGCAAGTCAACGCAATTCAACGTGACGCAACGCACACACATCGCCTCGCACGCACCGACGCATGAGAGGGCACACCGCCAACACCGCTTCAACGACAGTGCGTTCACACGCCAGCTGACTCAGCACAGGACCGGTCAACCCACGCGTTTGGCAAGTTCCGCCTCTTATCCCGTGCTCTCGCTTCCCCTCTGATGCTGGAGCGGTGCTTTGTGAAGGCACTCACCAATAGTGGGAACGGTGGAGAGGATCTCGCCGATATGGAGCTTGTAGAGAATCGTGGTCTTGCCTGCTGCGTCCAGCCCTAGCATTACGACCTGTGGAAGGAGGAAAGAGAGAGAATGGAGGGTTGGAGGGATGGAAGAGGGAGGAGAGAAGGAAGGGGGCGAGGGAAGGATGAAGGGATGGTTGGCGCGGGAAATGACTGGTCAGAGCCAAACTAGGCAGCGAATGAAGTCGTGAGCAGAAGCATCGGACTGTTCTCCTAAGTCGATCTCCGTAAGGGAGGACGGAAACAGGTGAAAAGGGGAGAGAACCAAAGAAGCACGACGCGGAAGGAAAGCAGCGAATTCAGTGGGAGAAGGGCGGAAGGGAGGAAAGGCAGCAGCGGAGAAGCGTACGCGCATTTCTCTGTTGCCGAAGATGGAATCGAACAGCTTCCTAAACGCCTGCCCCATGGTCGCCCCCTCCACACGAAGCTCCGGTTACTGCGTTGCCGAGCCTCGGCAGATCGCAGAGCCTCGGAGACTGGGGTTGGACGGAGCATGCACGGAGGATCGTCGCACGGCAAGGACATCAGAACGTGCGAAACAGCGAATTGAGTAGATTAGAAACGCTTTCGACGATTGAAATTTGCTCGTGAGAATAAATTCGCCAGGAGTCGTGACTCGAGAAGGTCTCACATGGTCCGTAGAATTCGGCTTGGAAGAATCTGGGAGGAGAAAAAGGTCGATCGACCCCCGCTTACCCTTAGAATGACGATCGGAGGCGGCACGGAGCTTCACGAAGGATTGATCGCACCTAGAAAGCAACTTAGGTGTTTCAACGAGCCTACGTCTACCAGAAGGGACCTGACAACAAACTCTTGATTTTAAAGCTGCCCTTACGTCTAAAACTACGTCGAGGCCATTAAGCTCACAGCATGGTCGGTCCTACGACACCCATAGAAAAAAACTGCCATTCGTATCGCGGAGGGACGCCACTAGACTGCTGAAATGTAGAAACCGAAGCAGGAATACGGGATCTGAGGGAGTGCGGGAGAGATGACGACAGCCAAAAGCCACAACAGTGCGGCTGGGAGGAACACAAAACTGAATGTCCCAGAATTGATCTCTCCCCCGACCGAACCAAGTGTTCCCTCAGCAAAGTTTGTTCCGTTCACCTTGGGATTGACATTGGGTTAGTATTTGCGGGATGGGTACTTTCAAAGAATTTTGCATCAGAGTCTGTGTTAGAGCTACCTAATGCGACTTTTTGCCGTTTTCGATTCTCGTGATGTGAAATATTGTTTCGTTTCATGTCTCCTGTCAAAACAATGTGACACGTGTCCAAACGGGAATATTTGGATTATTTTGGAGTTTCCAGACAAGGATGAAAAACAATATTACCGGCCTACATTACCCCTAAACTCGCTAAAGGGCTGCGAATTCAGGGTTTTTCCATCCCTGAATGGCAAGCAGGCCCCCTATGAGTTTTTTTTATTTTTTATTTTTTATTTCTGTCTGTTAAGATGCTAAAGCTCTTTCTGCAAACAAATGGACACGTGGCACAAATATTTGCCATGAGACATGAAACGAAACAAAAGTTCACATGACTTGAGAGAATCAACAGAAACTCACATGAGGTTGCCCTAATCTAGACTGAGATGCGAAATGTCTTGATAGTACCCATCCAGCGGATACTTACCCATTCACATTTCTCTGTCTCCATTCTTCCCTCACCTCGCTCGTTGCTGTACTGGGGGCAAAACAGAGCCGACCAATACCGTGCTCCCGTTGACGTGGCATTTCCGTTCTGACAGCTTCGAAAACGAACCGCAAAGCCAAAAGTTCTCGCCAGAACCAACGGCTGCTTCCAGTGCCCACTGCCCACAAAAGCAAATTTCGTTTTAGAGGATTGGGCAGACGTACAGAAGAAAGGTGGAGGTGATAACGGGATGTATATAGAACTGTATTACAATGGATGTGATGCATACCTTATAGGCAAGGCTGTCGTTATCAGGGTATTTTACCCTCATTTCCTGATTTCACAGGGTATTTTTTTGGCCAACCCTTAATTTTCAGGGTTGGTTTTTTTTTAACCCTAACCTCTTCAGGGTTGTATGTTTGTGAACACTGAAATTTTCAGGGTTTGCGTTATCCCAACACTGAGTTTTCATGGAGTAACGCGTACGAACCCTGAATGCGACATCCATGCGGACCCTGAGTTTCCTCGAAATGGCCCCCTTACGCATGACGGGGCCCAGTCCATTGAACACGCCCAGCATGCGTCACGTGGGGAATCTGCACTCGGCAAGATTCCCGCCGTGTACACGCTGTATGTTGCTATTACAACAACATTTGCAACCGTCAACTGGCATTCGTGACTCAGCACGCAGCAGACGAGGACAGAATATGATGAGCGCAGCAATGTCAGCCTCTGTATGACATCACCCCGCCAATCATCTCTGTGCAGACGATGCCAGCGCAGGTGCGTCTCGCCGTTGACGTTATCGCCATGGCGATACGGGAACCTGGATGAGTTATGCAGCATCCATGAAAATCGAAAGATGGGGCTTCTTGGTCCTCTTCCCGTCTTCTTCACCAGCTCCTCCTCCAACCCAGTTTTTTTCTGTTCTTCATGTCACAGCTACGAGATGCTCCAGTCTTCTGTCTCCCCTAGTTTCGTCGCGCCGATTTCTCATTTCCATCATATCCGCCGCTTCTAGCCATGGCGGATGTAGGAGACTCTGGTGAGTCTCCCACTGCCGATGATGGTTCTGGACTAGGTAGGGACCCCCCCGTGGAGGTCCGTAGATCCGCTCTAGACATCTTGCGGTCTCCCACCGCAGTCGTTACACCATTACAACCCGTATCTACTCCCGCCGCTCCCTATGTACCTCCGCCCGCTATCGCCTCATCTAGCCGGGGCCCTTTGGTTCCAGACTGCGAGACAGCCACGACCGTGCGTTACACGGTGGAGTGTGCGTCGACGATTTCATTTGGGAAGAAAGCACGCGCCGGGAAGTACACCCAGAGCACGATAGTCCTCGGCGGGAAGCTACATCGACGGTCGCCGCCTCGCACGTCGCCTGAACCTCGGGCCCCTGGTATTCCAGAACCCGAGCCGCCGAATCTCTCAAAGAAGGAACTCATCGAGCAGAAGTATCTCATGGCTGAGCACAAGTATAAGACCAGCTGGCTTCCATTTTTCCCTTGGCTTCTGCTAACGAAAACGAAAGACGGTTACCCTGCTTTGAAGTGCAGTGTGTACAAGGCTTTCGGCAAAGAGACAACACCGTACTCCAACAGCCGCGACGGGGCACGTGACCTGCAGACGCAAGCGATGCGGTTCCACGAACACACGACAGCCCACGAAGTAGCAGTCAAGCGTCAGATGGAGATCGCCGAAGACATCTCCAGCACCCAGAGACGCATGGAGAATTACGCGCGGATTGACATCGAGGGGAAGCGTGTCATGAGGCTCCTACGCTGCGTCGACTTCCTGTGCAAGTGTGATGCACCCATCAGCATGTACCCGAGGCTACTCCGCTTCATGGCCGAGCAGGAGACACCGGACATTCCGCTGCAGTCTTACGGAGTCTACCTGACACGGTAATGCACTTATTCGAAGTACACCATGTCCTTCATTTTTCAAAAAGGTCTAACCAACACCTTGTTGTCACTTCTGCTACTACAGGTATGGCTTCTGTCAGCTCGTCAGCAGCCTGGCAACCTACCTGCAGCGCCGACAAATGCAATACATTCTCGCCTCACCCTACCTCGGCATCAGCTGCGACGAGAGCACTGACCGTACTCGCGGTAAACATCTTATTGTTTATCTGACCTTCTTGCGTGCGCATCGTGTTATCACAGAGTTTTTTGCTCTCCTGACCGTCGAAAAGTGCGATGCCGCGTCTCTCCTCGCCGTTCTTCTGGCTCACTTGCGAGCAACTGGCATCGACCTCTCCCGAATCACCGGCATGAGCACCGACGGCGCCTCTGTCATGGTCGGCCGAGACAATGGTCTTGTCGCCCGACTTCACGAGCACATCCCCCACCTCGTCTCGTCGCACTGCATCGCCCACAGGTTTAACCGCTTGTCATTTCAGTCGCTTAGGGTTCCTACAAGTGCTTGTCTAAAAGTCCTTCGTGTGCACCATACAGGGAAGCCTTGGTGGTGAAGGACGCGGCCACTGCTTCTCCAGACTTCGACATGGTCGACCTTGTGATTCGGACTCTGGCCGATCTTCTGGGACGTTCATGTGTCTGGAGTCAACGCTTCAAGTACCTGCAGCGGGCAATACACAACACCAACCTTGAAGTGCAAGGCATTCACACCGTGCGATGGCTTTCAAGGGGTGAGGCTGTGCGGCGCCTCTGTAAGGTCCTTGGCGCTGCTATCATTCTCTTTTATGAGTACGGGCATGAGCTGTATGAGGTCGTCATCTGTTACAAGTTCCAGTTCTGTCTTTTTTTCCTGGCGGACGTGCTCGGAGTGATGAATGAGCTCAACCTCAAATTCCAGAAGTGGGAGGTGAGCTTCTATCCCTGTGGATGTTGTAGTTTTTGTCCCATGCATCCACGTTTGGAATCACCCTCTGACTCCACTCCCTTGTCTGTCACTTCCATTAGGTCGATGTCACCGATTTGACAAAGGACATCGACGAGGCGACAGGGGACCTCCGCCACCGCTACTTGGAGTGCCGAGAGGTGTTCGGTGGGGGTGTCCAAGGCACGTGGCTTTCGGCTTTCTTGGCAGTCTACGGGCGCGGAGGGGGCAAACGCGTAAAGGTGCGGGGCATCGACAAAGACGGCAACCCAGTCACGCACACCTACACCATGCACGAGAAGCAGATCGACGGGCATGCCTTCCGCAGCAAGTACCCCGATTGCGAGAGGCTCTGCGGGCAGTTCGCGAAGGACACGATAAGCTTCCTGAAGACGAGGATGCTGGACTTGAACAATCTCGGCCCGACGAAGCTCTTCCGCGTGTCGAAGTGGCCCCGGATGAAGCAGCAGAGAGAGAAGAAGCTGAAGGAGTACCTACATGGCTGCAGTGCCTTGTTCGACAACAGGCTGACAGGCTTTTCCTTGCAAGCTGCGCAGAAGGAGCTGGTCACGTGGGCGCCACTGATGCTGAGCCACCATGCCGACGAGGGATTCCATCAAGGCCTGACGAACTACCTGGGCTCGACGGAGTCGACCTTGTGAGAGAGTGCTGCTCGAAGGACGATTGTTGCATTTTTTTTGGGCGCTTTTATTCTTCCCTTTGGATGTTGTTGTTTATCGATTGTTGACTAGCATCGCTAATGCACTCGTCTTGTTCCGTGTACTCTGTTCCCCAACCCTTTTGTCAGTCGCTGGCCCAACCTCATGCGCTTGTGGCAGGAGTGCGCTGTCCTGCCGCTTAGCACAGTAGAGTGTGAACGAGGCTTCTCGCGGCAGAACGTCATCAAGTCATGGTTGCGGGGCGCGTTGTGCAATGCGCGCCTCAGCGAGCTGATGGTCATTTCCCTGCTGCAGTACGAGACTGACTGAGACGAGGCCCTTGGGTGTTGGCACGAGAAGCTGAGGCGCCCTGCTAAGTCTGTTCTATTTGCCGCAGCGGAGAGGAAGCGTAAGGCGAAGGCGATTGAGGGGGTAGAAGTGAGGGTGGAGGAGGAGGCAGTCCCCGACTACATGGGGGATTGGGCAGAGGATGAGGGAGAGGGGGAGAGGGGAGTGGGGGGAGAGGGTCCTCCTGAAGTGGAAGACAACCCCTTTCTGTCCGATGACGAGGCAGAAGACGAAGTGAACATGGATGGCCCAGAATTTTAGTCAAGTGTAGCTAGTGGCGTGGAATATTGTGAAGTCTAGACTAGATAGAGGACTTGTAGACTGGCGTGGCGTAGTGGTGCTTTTACTGAACTAGTAGCTGTACATTCCTAGTTGATTTTTTCCAAGTGCAATGCAACCCTGATTGTTGATAGCCAACCCTGGAGGTTTCAGGGTTGTAAGTTCCAGAACACTGAGAAATCAGGGAAGTCAAAATTCCAACACTTGGCCCTCAGGGTAATTTTTTTTCCACATTTGACAGCTCAGGGTGCTTTTTTTTGAAACGTCAGCCCTGCT